CGTACTTACAGCCAATCAGCTCTGAATGATGAGATGACGTATGGTGGGGATGGCAGCTCTCTGCCCCTGTGGTCATTATTTTTTTGCCACACATTGAATAGGAAAATACTCTGAGCATGCGCAGTTTAGTTTTTACAGTCACCGTTCACTTAGACAGGGAGAGGGAGGGCATGATGGGGTTTTGTCCCACATGGCTCTAAGCAGCTCAATAGGCACACACTGTAGACACTAATTAGAAGAACACAGACTAAAACAGCAACGAGACGAATCAGATGATTAAACATGATCTTAAAATATATTTTATATATATATTTTTTTTTTGTGCATTTTTTTGTAATCATTATTTGTAATACTTTCTGCTGACACTAGGTGGGGCTGTGCCCCACCTGCCCCTAATGACCAGTCGCCACTGCTCCTGTCATCATTAATGGACGTCTCTTTAAAATGACCGCTCAGAGGAGAGGAGTTCTCATTTCTCTAACCACCTGCTACTTCCCCTCCTCTCTCCTCGGTTCCCCTCCTCGGCTCCTCTCTCCTCGGTTCCCCTCCTCGACTCCTCTCTCCTCGGTTCCCCTCTTCGACTCCTCTCTCCTCGGCTCCCCTCCTCGACTACTCCGTTCGCATCTCCTGTGGGCGGGACTAAGGAGGAGTTAGAGTATTGAGAAACCTCTACAGAGAGACACACACACAGGTCTGATGCTGCAGGTGTGTGTGTCTCTNTTTGATTGTCAAGATTTATCGATTTCTTGATGGAATCTATATTTTTCCATACGATGAAAGCTCATGCCCTTTCATTTAAATCCGAATACTTCACCTTCCAAAAACACAGTCCTTTGTATTCAACAAGAGATCTGTTCCCCTCTGCAGCCCATCCTGTCGTCCCACCTGGGCATCCAGGACACCTGCGGGGTCCACAATCTGCACGGCATGCCCGGCATCCTGGGCGGGTTGGCTGGCATTGTGGCTGTGGCTCTGGGGAAGATAGAGGGGTAAGGACCATTTCACTCACCACTAATCCTTCATATACCAATAAGAATATATATATTATTAACATGTGACTATATTGTAGTTTTGAAGTAATGTTATGATCCAGTTAAATGGCAGCTGTCTCCCTTCCTCCTCCTCTTCAGAGGTAATGCTGTCATGCAAGCTGCTGCCTTGGCTTCGTCCCTAGGGTTCGCTTTGGTTGGAGGTGCATTTACAGGTAGGTGGAGGAGATGAAACGTGAGATGTGACAGAACACTTTCATTCATGAGGGCAGGGTTGTTATGATCTAGCAAAAAGCCTGATTGATCAAACCATTCATTTTCTTTTTCAAGGTTTAATAATGAAGCTGCCATTCTGGGGCCAGCCTCCGGACCAGAACTGCTACGATGACTCTCTTTACTGGGAGGTAAGGAATCCCACTCCTCATACATAATATCTGTAGTGTCTGAGTGTCAAGCATCACAAGTAAAGGTGGCAGTATCCTAATATTTGTTTAAGTTATTAAATTAGATGGATTGTATCATCATAATGTGTTTATCGGACCGACATGTTTTGATTCATGGAAAACAGTTCTTCCTGTATTAATTCCATCCATCTGGTACTGCTTGCTTTAGCCTCTGCTAGTATACGACACCCAGGTGGTAAAGCATATAAGACAATAGTTAGGTTTCTTTCAATATGCTCCATAAAAATGATTTGGACTTGATGTTTTCCAGGTTCCTGCTGAGGAGGAGGAGAACGAGGAGAGCTTGGCTCACGCCGATCACTCGAAGAACAAAGCAGAGGTTTAAAAATCTGCTTTCTGTCCCCTGAGCTAGAAACTAAGAAGGATCAATAATCAGCTACACCATGTCAACAGACGTCAATTTGCCAATTATATGAATGTGATTACATGCATTCAAGAAATTTGACGATATGCTCTACGAACCGACACAAGTCAAATTGAAACTGTTTTACGAGCAAAGATATTTCCGGCAGTGTGAGTTCAAAATTGTAATAAGATTAAGCAGTGAACTTTTTACACAATATTTTGAACTTTCTAAAAATTGTTGACATAAATATTTGGTTAATCCCATTGACACTAAGACAACACATTTCAATAATTTGAAACAGGGAACTTCAGGGATTTCTTTTACACTGATTTTAAAACCACAGTGGACCAACTCATTCACTGCTGATACACTTCCATAAGCTCTTTGTTTATTTCATTTTTATATTATCAAAAGCATGTTTTTTTAAGATATTAGTAATTAGTGTGTATTTCTTTTCATACATTATTTTATTTTTCCAAATACTTGGCGCATGTGTTTCTGCTGAGGTTGAGGTCAGAGAGAGGAGTTAGCTCTTCTGACCTGCTGCCTCACGTCACCTCACTGGAGCCCGGCCCTTCTGCAGGAGTCAGTCAATCTGCGTGAACCAGCAGCTCTGACACGGGCAGGGATAGTCGCATTATATGTTGTAACTAATGAACTTATCTCCCGCTGCGTACGATCATTTTCTATCTATGTGTTGGCAGCTGTACAATTTCTTTAATGCATAGAGTATGAATGTATTTAGCATTAAATTGGTTGTTACTGGGCAAGCTAAAGTTCCTTTTTTGTCTGCTTTCTATTTACATCCAATGTATTCTTCTTACATGTACATACTTTTAGACGGATTGACATGGTCAGTTTTATCAAAGTCCTGCATTGTTGTAAAAGAGCAACTGGTACTGAATTATTTTTCAGATGCCTTTAAAATAATTTCAACAGGAACTTACACATTAAAAATAAAAAAGTCTGACATTAAAACAAGATGCAAATGTGAAGATGAATACACTTTTTTACAATGTCGGGTGTTCAGCTGTATTCTTTTCTTCTGTTTTTCTTGCGGTGAGTTACTGTTGGAATCATTTTAAATAAATAACTGCAGGGCTAGATAAAACTGACTACACATACAGCAGTGTTAATCAATATTTTGGTTTGTCAAACGATGTATGATGCCCAGAACACTGAAACACATCACATTTTGTATTTTTATACAGTGGGCATGTGCTCTTATTTGTATAATATACTAATACTGTCATAATAAATATGTTTTTGTACAATACCAGTGTTTACGTGTTTTTGTGGAAGTAAACTTGCAAATATTTATGGATATGAAATCCATAAGGTAAGGTATTTTTACCTTACTAAATTGGAGCGAGGGGCGGGGCGAAACTCACGGAAGTGATTTCAAAACAAAAGCACTCGTTTGCTAAAATCACACTTTGAATCACTACAGTATCCTGCTGAAGGACCGGTGATTATTATAAACAAGGGGAATTTAGCCATCACAACGAAAACGGCCAAGACACATATTGAGCCCAGAAAATGGATGTTATTAAGGGCTGTAAATATAATAAGCCTCTGTCTAAAATGGACAATATTATTAGGAGATTTAAACTAGGTCTATACAGCGGTTCTGCACTGCGGTCAACTCAGCCGCCTCTCGAGTTTGTTTTTTCAAATCAGCTGCTCTTCATCTTCATTGTTCCTGCTATATTCAATGAGTGATACAAATATTTGTTACCACAAGTTCTTAAGGAAACTGACCCTGTTGGACTCGGTTCTAGTTTGACTTCTACCAGAAATAAAATGAAGTACTTACTGTGTACTTTTTGAGTAATCTAGCTATCAATGTTCCCTCATGAGAACAAGAATGCATGTTTCTCTGCTATTTTTAATAAGCGTTAAAAAAACCTTTCTTCATGAGACTGATATTGGCGGACAGGGGATAGGGAAATAATGAGTCGGTGTGGCTTAGGCACTTGTGTAATGTGGCAGGAGTAGTTCGAGGTGACCAGGGGTAGGGGTCTCTTAAGTCATGTTCTAGGAGGACTACTGCATGTTTCGGGAGGTATTGGACCCTGGGGTAGGATGGACTGACTGGAGGGAGTGTCTGTGAGAGGGTGAGCGAGGGGAGGCCGAGACGGTGACGGTTGGAGACCGGGAGGGGTGAGCCTGGTTGGGAGTCAGAACCCCTGTTCGGAGGAGGCAACGCAACGTGGGTCAGACCTTGAAGTGATGGGGTTAGTAGTCTCTAAGAAGGAGAGTTCGTAAGCTTTGTAGTGAGTTTGGGTAGACAGGTTGTGACGTAAGTGGTGACTGGGTGGGGTGGGGGGGGCCATAAAAAAAGAACAACAAATAGAGAAACATAAAGAAACAGAAAAAAAACAACACAAAAGAATTAAGAGACAGTTTTCGCCAGAAACTCAAAGTACTTTCGCGATATCTTTCAGGGTAATATAAATAAATTAAAAGTGAAGGCGTAGTTTTTTAACTCCGAATTTTATAACCTCTATTAGGTATTAGAAGCACACCAATCGATACTTAGAAGGACGACGTTGCATGCTCATCCGTGGTGTGTTTGACGTCTTGTGACCACAAACCCTTCTGAGTTCTACTAAATAAGGGTAAAGTGTTAGTCTCTAAATTATGCCGTCACAGCACACACACACACACACACACACCACACACACACACACACACACACACAACACACACACAACCACAACCAACACACAACACAACCACACACACACACACAACACACCACACACACACACACACACAGTATGAACGGTTGGGAGCGGCTAAAAAGCGCCCTCTGGAAGGGCGTAAGAGGGCTAAAGACTGTTTAGTCTAAGTGAGTGCTGACAAGGGTGAGCCGTGAAATTATGTCGATCTCTGGTAACAAACCAAAGCGTAGCCATCGCGCAAGAAATCCGTCGCGGCCGCGTTGAGTTTCAGACTGCTCCCACTCCTTCTTACTTTTGACTTGTCTTAGCTGATTGACTGGGAGAATAGTTAGTGAGTGAAGAGGACATTTTATGTGCCAGCTCGCGTGTATACGAGGTACAATGTCCGTAACGGGAATTGATGTTATTGGTTACAATTTACAATTTAGATGTCGAGGCCCGCTAGGTGAAATTGCGGCCTAAGAGGTGGACGCTGTTGATGAACTCGCACTGGAACCTATGCTCAGGTTTGTTAGTGTCGTGTGGTCCCGCACTGTCCCGCGGGAAACTCGTAGTCTAGACTGCTGCTCATCAAATGTCTATCGGTTGTCAGTCGTAAACAACCAACGACGACGACGACCGACTCGAGGAAAGATGGCGGGGCCTGCTCCTCACCCCATACTTATGTGCTACCTAGGGGCGGGTCCTTTGTACACTGAATAGTCAATTGAAATCTGTAGCATTTTGTTTAAAGATTTGTTCTAAAATAACATCTAATATGTAAAATGGAACTATGGTTTGATAGTATTATAAATGGACAGAAATTTTTATTTTTATTTTTTATAAAAACTTTAATAAAAAATAAAATAAAAAAAAAATTACTGTTAGTGTGTAACCCCTTCTCCAGGCGGGATCGCGGGGATACCCGGCCGCGGTGACGTCCGACGGCCGTATACCTGACCTTCATAACGAACTATAGTTCAGATGGTAGGAGGAATTTTTATTGAGTAGGGTCAACCGCACTAAATGCCTAACATCCTCTAGGCCCGAATCGGGTCCTCAACAACTCCCCCACGTCCCCACTTCAACGATAAAAAAAAAATGTTCACCGTCACCCCACCTGGCTTGAGGAAAATCCCCTCAGTAGTGGAGAAATCCCCCCGCCCCGCCGTACGAAGGGGACACTCTAAAAAAAAATTATAACTACAAATTTTCGTAGTTAGACAACGTGAAACTCTCGTTGTAATTGGATGGAATTATTATGGAATTTCGCCGTGTTTTCCGTGACCTCTTTGAATAAGTAATTTAGGAAATTACTTCCGTTTGATTACGAATTGAGTGAGTTATGAGCAAATGAATGAAAGCCGACTTTGCTTACACGCATCTCAAAAATTTCCTACGCCTATCAGAGTGGGAACTAAGACCGCGTAACGATAGCAAAATATCTAGAATAAGAGGTACGGTGGTAGAAACAAACACAATTTCCTCACAGTTCTCAGTGCAAACGACTTAGCCTGTGAGACTCACCTAGCGTCAGTGTGGCGGTTGGCCTCAGACTAAAGTCTCCCAACGGACAGTCAAGGCAACGGACAGTCAAGGCAACGATACAAGGCAACAATCACATGACTTTGCTCCTGCCATATTTTTTGATTTTTTTTTTTTTTTTTAAAGGGTTTTTGTTATATTTTAACCTTATGCAATAAATCAACAGAATTTCATCTTACCTCCATACTTCCCAATGTAAGTAGAATCCTATTAAAATCAGTACAAGACATATGTATGATGTATATGCCCCATAGAATCACACCAATGAGGTACACAATGATCATATTTGAGATTGTTGTAGCGAGAAAAAGGAAATGAGTCAGTCGGCTGACGGTCTATAGTGGTAACATCTAAGTGGTTGTGGACTTTTGTAGTAGTTAAGAAGTGACGAACCACTACTTGTAACAACAGTCCCGACGACGTATGTGACAACCAACGACGACGTCCTCGACGACCGCGGAAAAAGTAGCTTGTTAGGAAAATGGATTATAGTGTATTGAAATATCTTTGATAATCGAATTTGAGCAGTCCGTGATCGTCTCGGTATTACCGCGACCCGTTGATTCCTTCCTAGTGAAGAGAAAGTCCCTCGTAGTGTTGTCATTGCGTCACGATGCACAGGGCGTCTCGACGGAGAGACCAACTGAGGCCATGACGTGTAAGTGAGGGCTCCGAACAAATTTTTTTTTTTTTTTTGCCAAATAACAAAAAAAACCAATAAAAACACTTTGTAGGCCTTCCGTGAAAAGTTCTTGTTGTTGTATGAGCCCCGAACTCGTGGTTCATCCGGTG